TATATATATATATATATATATATATATATATATATATATTTATATATATATGTATATATATAAGAGGTTATATTTTATGTTTTTTATTTTTATAACAAATTTATTGGTTTAATTAAAAACTTTTTATATATTTTTATTAATTTAAACTCAGGTTTGTGCACCTATGGCACTTTTTTATGTAAACAAGAATGGTGCTTTGCTTCCTATTGCTATTCAGTTATTTCAGAAACCTTCTGAAGAAAATCCAGTAAATATTTTTTACATAAAGTGATTTTACTTCTCATTTATTTATTTTGTACTTATTGTTTTAATGTTTTAGTTCACCCCACACACATGCTTACACATGCGCTCTCTCGCACACATGCATTCACATATACACATGCAAAAATTAAATCTAACAAACAAATTAAAAATATTTATAGCATTAATCATAAATTACACTAATATAATTTATGTAGCACTTAATATTATTAAGAGATCTTTTTAATGCATTAATGCATCTGAACAGTAAAATATTTTAGATTTTTAAGACAATAATTGCCTAATATTAAATATTGCTTAAAGACAATTTAGTAAACTAAGAGAAGTATGTTGTTCTCAAACCTTTTGTATTGAAAGTTTTTGTTGTAATGGTATAGATTAGGCTAATAAAGCTTTGTATCAATTGTCTTTTAACATCTGTATCAATAAACGTTTTTGTCTCAGTTGCCTCCAGATGCCTCTAAAAATCAAACATCCTAAGTGCAGAAAGATAGATTTTGAGATATTTGCAAAAAACTGTTTAATATTTAGCCAAATTGCTAATATATTGTTATGTTTGTTTGACTTTACCGATAATTTTTTTTATGACTTCCTTGATTTTTGGATGATTTTGACCAATTATTTTTTTTACGACTTCCCTGATTTTTTTGCAGGTGCAAAATCTTATAATAAATCATATTCAGCATTTAACTAGAAAAGTTCAATTTTTGCACTTAGAATGTTCTTGATTGGTAGGATTGTATATTTGCATCAATCCAATTCTAATATTTTTTGTTTTACTTAAATTATATATCACACCTTATTTCATACAAAAAATTGTGTAAAACCTAATAATTTTATTGAGCTCTGATTTTAAAAACTTATTATTGCTTTAAATAATTGTTAAACTGTGTTTATTAGGCAAAGGCAATTGTATTATTGAACTCACTTTCCATTTAGTAAATGTCGTTAACTTTTTTCTTAAAATTGACAGTAAGCTCAGTCTGAAACCGTTTTTTTTCATGTTAAAAATTGTTGTGAGGTTGAATAAGGATTTTGTTTCAATCATTTAACCAACCAACTATTTAATGAAATAAAAAATTTTAAGAAAACATATATTAATTTATAATATATATTAAAAGGTAATTTATTTTTATTGTTATCAGGTATATTAAATTGTTCAATATATAATTAAATAAAAGTGGTAAAAAAAAAATTTAGTTTTTGAAAGAAACTACTAAAAGTTAAAAAAAGCAAAAAAGAAACAAAAAAACAAAAGCACACCATTTATACTTTGTAATATTTATTTCATGCTTGACTAAATACAATATTAATAAATTAACTTTTAAATTTTTTCAACCAGAAAGTGATTTAAATCAATACCAACATCTTTCATCATTTTATAAAAACTTTTTTTTTAACCAGTTAAAAAAAAAGTTAATGTAGACCAAGTTTTTTTTTTTTTTTAATTTTTCTTTTTTCTAAATAAATTTTTATCTTCAGTTAATACACTTAACTTTAGATATTTTTACCAAGTGATCCACAATATACCTGGCTACTTGCAAAGATGTATTTTAACAATGCTGATTGCTCTGTGCATCAATCCTGTACTCATCTAGGTAAGTCTTTCTTGTTTCTCTAGGTAAGTCTTTCTGTATATTTTTTTTTTTTTTTTATTTGCATTCACTCCCAACAAGGCTGCAAGCAACCACTATTAAGTTGGGAGTTACTAGGAAAAAAAAAAGAACAGAGTTATAGAGCAAGGAAACGGTTGACAGAAGACTTGAAAAGTTGGAGGTTGTATGAGTCAGGAAAACATGAAGATGGGAGAGAGTTCCAAAGGATTGAAGTGCGGGGAAAAAAACTAGATGAATAAAAGTTTTTAGAGCATGCAGGAACAGATACAGTAAACGAATGAGACTTAGCTGAATGACGAGTAAAACGAGAATGAATTTTAGTTGATGGAACTAGAGATGATAACTCCTTTGAGCAGTGACCATGATAGTATCTGTAGAAAAGAGAAAGAGATGCAACTTTACGGCGATGGGAAAGAGGTTCAAGCTTAGCAGATAGTCCAGGTCCAACAACATTTACAATGCGTTTTTGGACCTTGTCAAGAAGAGAAAGTGAATCGTTATAAGAACCAGCCCAAATATGACAACAGTATTCCATACAGGGACGAATAAGAGATTTGTAGAGGTAGAGAATGGAATCAGAAGTAAGGAAATGGCGAGCACGATAAAGAGAAGCAACCTTAGCAGAAGCTAATTTAGCAATTGATTGTATATATGGTTTCCATGAGAGGTCAGTAGTAAGCGATAATCCAAGAAGACGTAAAGAGGACGACTCAGTAAGAGGATTGCCATTCATTAATATAGGAATGTTGACCATATTACGGTAGTTGTTTGCAGTAAGCAATTGGGTTTTCTTAGAGTTGAAACTCACAAGCCACTGTGAACCCCAATCTACCACCGAAGTGAGATCAGATTCAAGATTAGCTGCTTGTTCTAGGCGATCGAAAAGAGAAGACTTTTTGTCAAGACAGGAGTATAAAGTTGAGTCATCAGCAAAAAGAGCTACTTTAGATGAAAGGTTGTCAGGAAGATCGTTTATGTAGATAAGAAACAAAACAGGGCCCAGGATGGAACCTTGGGGAACCTCAGATGTTACTGGAAATAAAGAAGAGTGTTGCCCTTCAAGGATGACTTTAATAAACCGGTCAGAAAGAAATGATTTGATAATCTCAAAAACTTTCCCAGAAACACCATATGAAGCAAGCTTATGGAGAAGACCAGCATGCCAAACTTTGTCGAAAGCTTTAGATATGTCGAGAGCAATAGCCCTAGCCTCACCGCCTCCATCTAATGCACGATAAAATCTTTCAGTTACAGCAGTTAGCAAGTCCGCCGTAGAGCGAGAGGATCGAAAACCGTATTGATTGTCTGACAGCAGTTTATTTGACTCAAGATGAGATGTGAGGAATTTGTTGATCAAAGACTCAAAGACCTTGCTAATAACAGAAAGAAGACTGATCGGACGATAATTGGAGGGGTCAGAATTTTCTCCAGAGTTTTTGAATATTGGGACCACAGATGCCATTTTCCAACAAGCAGGAAAACAAGACTCAGTCAAACGCTTGTTAAATAGTTTAGAGAGAATTGAAGAAAGATCTGGAGAACAATTCTGCAAGACTGTGACAGGAATGTTGTCTGGACCACAAGCTGTAGACGAGTTTAATTGAGATATGACTTTAGCAACAGAAGCCGGAGTGATTTGAATGTCTAACAATGGGTCAACCTGTTTGACTGGAATGGAAGGAAGAGAATGTCCATAAGATTCAAGAGTGGAATTAGAAGAAAAGTTTTTTGCAAACAGTTCTGCCTTATCCCTGGGAGAGGTAACAAGATCAGTTCCATGAATGAGAGATGGAATGTTAGATCTACCCTTGTTAACAATGCTGTTGAAGATTTTCCAAAAGTCTTTAGAGCCTAACTTCTGCGATAAGATGCGAGATTTAGTGAACTGAGAATAATGGAGTTTAGCATCAGAAAGCACCTTTTTACATCGATTTCTTGCAATAATAAATAGCCGTTTGTTCTCAAGAGAGTTGTTCTTTTGAAAAAGATGAAAAAAATGATAACGATTGGATATAGCAGCCGCACAAGAAGGAGAAAACCATGGAGTAGAGTGAGGCTTGACTTGAAACCTACGAGAAGGACTAAAAGCTTCCATTCCAGCCTGAATCCAGGAGGTTACGTAGGAGGCGCATTTGTCAGCTGAGAGAAAAAAAACATCAGCCCAAGGACCATCACAAAGAAAATCACGAAAGGAATCCCAATCAGCTTTAGGGTAGTAGTAGGTGGTGCGATGATAAGGTGAGCCCAAAAAAGAAGTATGAGAAGAAAGATTTATAGAGATCATTGCATGGTCAGAACCACCTAAGGGAGAAAAGGGAGAAACTGAACATAAGCTAGGGTCAGAGACAAGACATAAGTCAAGGAGTGAAGGTAAATGATTAGGGTTGTCAGGAAAACGAGTCACAAAGTTAACTATCTGAGTAAGAGATTGAGAAACGCAGAAGTTAAAGGCTTTAGTGCCAGCAGGATCAGTGGTGTTAGAGCCAAGCCATTCAGTGTGATGGGCATTAAAATCACCAACAACAACAATATTGGCAGAGGGGTAAAGTGAGAGGGCATGGTCAATTTGATCAGAGATAACATCTAAAAGAGTGCAATCATGGGAAGAAGGAGAGCGATAAAGAACAAAGAGAAAGATGATAGAGTGAAGAGGTGCTAGGCGAAAGCACATAATAGAATGGTCAAAGGATTCGAACCTGATTTCACGACAAATAGGGGAATTAATGCATATGTATACCCCTAAACCTAGCATGTGACTATTGGAGTCTTTACGAATCAAAGGATAGTACCCATCAACACCGACATCCGAAGAAGGAATTGCAGAACTTAAATTTGTTTCACTGAGTGCAAGCAAGTCTGGTGAATTTTGCAGGAGGTAAGACTCAACTGATGGAAAGTTGCTTCGTAGACCGCGAATATTTGTAAAAGATATATTAAAATATTTAGGTGGTGGGGATGGTTTTTTAGGTTTTAAATTTTTGGTTACTTTGGTCATGATTTGGGTTTAATGAGAACTTGCCTCATTCATAGATAGAGCACAGCCTCCTAATCAATGAGCTATGCAGTTGTCTCAGTCCTGTTAATTAACCCTAAGCCGTGACATAGGGCTCCTTATGTGGCCTTGGCAATGCACACCAAAAGCATTAACAGGGACACCATCCATGCGCAACATGGCACTGTTAATACTCTGATATTTTGCAGCTGTTGATGGAATCAGCCTCTCTGAGAGCTACCACAGAGTTCGGGAAACCTTACTACCAGCCGGCCTCAGAACCATTAAACTGAGTTTTAGAGCTGTACCCTCATATGGAGATAACAGGAAGAGTTGCATAGCCATTATCAAGGAGGCATAAGCAAAATTCTATGAGTAGAGTCAAGGAGATCCAGCATTCATCATCCTAGGCAGGAAACAATGTAACACAGGTTACATCTACGCCAGCTTAATAGATATAAGATAATATATATAATTTCTATATATATGAATATATATATATATATATATATATATATATATATATATATATATATATATATATATATATATATATATATATATATATATATATATATATATAAATATATACATATATATGTATATATAAATATATATATATATATATATATATATATATATATATATATATATATATATATATATATATATATATATATATATATATATATATATATATATACAAGGCCAGCGGGATAGGGGTGTAGGGGTGTAACACCCTCCATCAATGATTTTTAGTCGGCAAATTTGACATTTAGTCGGCAAATGTAGACCCTGTCAATAGATTAGTCGGTAAATTTAGACAGTCAGTCGGCAAATGTCGTCATTGCAGTCAGGAAATTTTTAAAACCAAGTACTTTTTCGTTTTTTGTTTTTTTTTAGTTGGCAAAAGTTACAATAGTAAAGTTATAATGATATAAACCCCCCACCCCCCACGTGTAATATATAAATATATATATTTATATATATACATATATATATACATATTTATATATATACATATATATGCATATATATATGTATATTTACATATATACATTCAATACCTGGTTAGTCGATCACCCGTTAACTCAAACCTTTATTATCTCGAACCATTTTCCTTTGAAATTTGGTCCCTTAAAATTTTCTAATTAATTACTATTAAATTTTTCAGTTAAAGTGATCCGAAACCTCTGATACATTTGGTGTTCATATTAAAGAGCATGATTTAAAAAAAAATATTTGGGCTAAACTTTATTCCTAAGAGTTTTACAACATAACGTCATTGATGTTTTTTTTGTGTAAAGATCAATTGTGTAAACAAACAAAAAATTGATGGCGCCATGTACTAAAACTTTTAGGAATAAAACGCGCTTGAATAAATTATCAAGTCTGTACATTATGGAGTATAATATGCATGTCTCGGAGGTTTGAGATCCTCTTAAGTCAAGTTGGATAACTTGACTTAAGGGTATTTTTGTGTGGAATTGAAGATATTGATATAAATAAAATTAAAAAAACAAAAACAAAACAGGGTTAAAAGGTTTAAACCGTTTAATCACATTAACATTGTTTAAACCGGAAGGCTGCATAAGCTCGAATTAGCATTAGTGCGAAACGGTTGCATATGTGCGAACTGGCATAAGTGCAAATTGGCATATATGCGAACTGGCATTAGTGCGAATCAGTTACAAAAACTGGCACAAGTGTGAACTGACATAAGTTGAACAAATTTGCAAATATTGGCATAAGTGCGAATTATCATTTGGCATAAGTGAAAATATATCATTATCATTATATTTAACAGCCATTACAGACATACAAGCTTCAACATTAATGTGGGCTTGATATTTCTTAGATAACTGAGGATTGTAAGGTATCACCCAACGGTTATCTACATTGTTACCTTTAATATTGATAAGTTCGCGATTAACAATCGGATCTGGAATTTCTGCACATATTAAATTATTGATATTCTGTGTTGTTTCAA